ATATATGTATTTATTTATTTATTTAATAGCTACAATTTCTTATATCATAGCTTATCAAATTTTTTATTATAGCTATAATTTCTAAAACATCCGAGAAAAGAGAAAAAGGGAAAAATTGTAACGATACCGTTACTAACGACCTCGCGAGCCGACCAGACGCTTGCATTACGAGGCTCGGCGCCTATGGTGCCCCTAAATTTCCACACCCGTATCGCGACCCCATCGTGGGGACCACCCCACCATGCACCGAATCGCGTGAGTGGGAGGAACCGGCCGGTGCGCTCTGTCGGGTATATAAGGCGGCCCGGCGAGCGCTTCACCACCAGTTCGTGATCTCGAGTCCTGTCTTACACTACTCCAGATCCGAAACCGACTCTCGCTAGTACCAGGCAACGGGCTTCCCGTTGTTAGGCCGGGCTTCCCAGTTGCTGGAACAGCACACCTCGCATCCTCGCTAAACCAGGCCACGGGCTTTCCGGTTGCTGGGACGGCACATCCTATGACTCCGCTAAACCAGGCCACGGGCTTCCCGTGGTTAGGCCGGGTTCCCCGGTTGCTGGGACGGCACATCCTATGACTCTGCTAAACCAGGCCACGGGCTTCCCGTGATTAGGCCGGGTTTCCCGGTTGCTGGGATGGCACATCCTGCGACTCCGCTAAACCAGGCCACGGGCTTCCAGTGGTTAGGCCGGGTTTCCCGGTTGCTGGGACGGCACATCCTGCGACTCCGCTAAACCAGGCCACGGGCTTCCCGTGGTTAGGCCGGGCTTTCCGGTTGCTGGGACGGCACGTAGACTGTAAGACCGTTCTGTATATACCGCATCCGGATAGAAAATAAGAACTGCCGTTTACCGATACGTTGTAAATATTGCGTCCGACCCCGTTTATCGCTCATTGTAAATATACTGGTGAATACCTGCGCCCGACTAACTCTTGTGGCTTACCCGCTTTCCGGTACATACCGCATAGGATTTAAGACCTGCCGCATACACCGCACTTTCTTGTACATATCACGTAGGATGCGTTCCACTTAACGACCGCAACACTCGCAAGCATCATCTGTCTTTGTTTAACTTTCGGTGAACAACAAAGATGAAATGATATCGTGAACGTTGCGGTCGTGAAGTGGAATGCGCCCGTAGAAGCTAAGACCTACCGCGACCGCGTTTCTTGTATAACACCGAGACACCGCCTACATGTGCTTTGCGAGACTTGCCTGCGTCCGCCTACATCACACTGCTCACACGAGCACTACTGCATACCGCTCTGATTAATTGGTCTAAATAAATCGTTTTATTGTACCAAGGAAAAGTGAGTTCGAGTTTCCCCCCTCTCCCAAATCCTGGCACTGGCGAGTCTAATCCGTGGCGTCGGGAAAGATGAACCGTTACAAAATATTTAATTAATAGTATCTATAAATTAGATTTCAAATTTAATAAAAAATTTGATTTTTGTGATTAGTTTTTTTATTTTTTTGGTCTGTTATTTGAATTACAATTACCTACCTGCAGTTCTCCTCGCCAATAGAGACCATCCTCATCTTCTTCCTCTTCTTCCTCTTCCTCTGCCGACTCATCGACATTAGGATCGTCTGTCGTGGATATAATTCCCGGTTTCAATGGAATCTTAACAGGCGGAGGTTTTGGTCCGCCCTTAGCCTTGATACCAAGTTTATTGTTTGCCAGTCTCAACGAGAATTCCATGTCTATGTCCAGCATATTTTCGGCCTCCGTGTGTACCACAATAAATTTGGTGATCACCCCGCATTCGTGCAGACCCTCCAATGGCGTGAGCACTATGTAGCTATAATCAAAATTGGTAATGTTGTGATAGTGCCAAGTACCGAGAAAGCCTGCCGTGATATTGTTGTAACCGATCCTGAAGTCAGCCTCGCGCCTATTTAGTTTGGCCACTATCAGTGCCTTTTGCAGCACCTCGATGGGCGTTGCTAACATGAATTTGATGTTAAAGTCGTAAGCGACAGTGAAGAGCTGGCATAGCGCCTCGACGCCCAGCGGACCATTCGGCGTGATAATCTCTGCCACTGCATGCCGGTTGCTCTCCGACAGACCGAATCTGCCACGAACGAAAGCGAACTTCTCTAACGGCGTGGTAACATTAAACTCTACTTTAGATTCCTTCCAGCGTATTAGGTCGCCGATTAGGCGGCCGGTGTACTTGCGTTTATCCAGCTCGAGATTAGCCGCGCCAAAGAACATCCAGTTAGTCATGAGACGCAACTGGCACTTGAGTTCGTTCTTTCGGTAGTTTGCCAAAGGCGAATACAGGTGCAGATTGCCAGTAAGATTGAACACATTGTCTGATTCCTTGTCTAAATGCCAGATGCTGCGCGCATCAATCGTTTTGTCGGGATTATACTTAATCAGCACATGTGTATCAATTGTTTCCGAGCGTAGCATCTTGTGAGTGACGTTTACAGTCATCCACGAGTTGGAGTGTACAGTGCTGGTCAAGCCATAATTTGCCGTCCATTCTTTCAAATCTTCATACTCATTCACGCTAGCATAGAATTCTGTTATGACGTGCTGGGAGTCCTTCCAGTAAGCGCTGCTACTAGCTAGGATTTTGTCTGGCAATTGTAGATATCTGCAGGCAATAATAGGATTAAAATAATAATCGGCAGTAAAAGTTATTTTTCTATAATTAAAATTTTGGAAATTAAATAGTTCGCCAAAAAAAAGTAAGAATAAAATTTGATTCGGCTTCATATTTTATAAAAAAATAGATAAAAATAATAATATTTTATATCTTATTATATCGCAAAAATAAATCAATTTAAAATCGAATGCATACTCTTACCTCACATTTAAGGCGGTCTTTTTCCACTGTTCAAAAGGCATTAACAGTTGCGACTCCAATTTGGCAGATGTCATTTCTGGCTGTACATCATAGTCTGCGCTAATCGACGCCTTGATTTCATTCTCCGGACTCCAATTCACAGTAACGTCTATCAGATAACTATGTGGATTACGTATAACCAAGTCACAAGAACCAGTTATTAGTCGACCCGGATAAGTCAATGTTATTATCGCGTTTCGCTTGATCCCGGATAAAGCTGGTTCCATCAGGTATACTTTACTTAATTGTAACATTGTGCCAAGTTTTAAAGCGGGATCCCTATTGGCGTCCCACTTGAGCTCCGCTGCCAACTCTTGCCGGTTCTCTTCGTTGATGCCGCTTAAGGTCAGATGTACGTCCCGCCATTTGTCTAAATGCAGCTCTAAACGAATTTCTCGCGTGGTGTCGATGTTCGTCATCGCTGAATACACGTTACCGCGGTATCTGGCTTCTATATATGACATTATACTGGTTGTCGACAACATTGTATGATTCAATACAAAGGCGTACTTATCGTAGTCTATTTGTTCGGCATATAAACTGACTCTGAGGTCACTATGATTCTGATACAAGTAGCAGTTAAGTAGAATTGGAGTAACAAAGCTCGGCGACTTGAAGATCATTTTCAAATGATGATTGATGATGACAGCCGACGATCGATCTGAGTAAGCTCCACGCGCGGTTATGTTGTGACCGCTGAACCACGTGCCGGAGAAATCCAGTTCGTACTCACGTCGTGATCGCTCGTTGATACGTGCGTCGATCAACATTGAGTTGAAATTCGGAATTGTCAGGTTCACGTGGCCTTCTATGGAGAACAGCAGATTACGCGGCATAATGATATTGACGATCAGACTAATCTCCTTCCCTGCAAATGGAAAAGATTTATTGAATATTTTTATAGTCAAATAAATTTAGCTTAATAATAAATTTTGCATCTTACCCGGTGCATATCCTATAAGCAAACTGGTCTTTGATTCGGCGCCGAGAGCGTAATGATTGATGCCCATCTTGAGATCCAGGTTCTGGATGGGTTTGGTGACGGCTATCAGCATGCTGACCTTTGTGCCCTGGTTTTGAAAGTACATCTTCGAGTAAGAGACGATAAGCTGCGCCGTGAGTTTGTGCCGATCGTCCTTGAGATGCGGATTCGAGTTCACTTCGGCGTGCAGCTCTAAGTGGCCGAGAGCTTGTTGATACCAAGCGCTTATCACAGTATTAAGTTGCGGGTAGGCAGTGGATTGCAGCTTCAGTTCTGCAGTCTTGTGTGTGAGCGTTTTCGACGAGCGGTTAGATAGCGAGATCTCCAGATGGAGAGTTTCCTTCTTCGGCATACGTTGCAGCTGATAATCTAGTTGGAAATCGCCGGCCAGGCTGATGTTTCGTTGAACGATGTAACCGATTAGTTTGCTCCAGACTCGCTTTGTTTGAAAAGTCAAGTCTATGTCGAATTGAGAGATGTTATTTTTTTGCGCGTTCCTTATCGCACCTGATGTGATTAAAAAAATGTTTTTAGTATTATTTGTATATAGTATTATATATAATATAATTATAATGCAAAACATACATTTATGATAAAATTAGTTATAAAATTAACTTTATGTTAATTACAAAAAAAAATTTATTTATTTATAAACTGAAGAAGATTGGAATCGATTTGAAAAGACGACAAAGTACCTGAAATGGCAGCAATGCGTTCATTATTGATAGTTAGATAGACTTTAGGATGATAAGTGTATCCATTATTGAACTTCTTTCTCGTGTAACCCACGCTGGCATCTAAGTGTTTCGTACCATTGATATCGAAACCGATATCTATGAAAGTCTCATCTTCAGAACGTTTGTATGTGCCTGAAAATATAAGAGCATTATTTTAATATCTTCAATAATCACATAATTTGAACAAAAAATTAGATATACATTCACAAAATACTAACCTTTAGCAATCAAAGAATTACCGGCCGAATGGACTAAAGCGGTAACGTTATTATTTATTATATCAAAATCGACAATAGCGCTTATTTCTCTATTCACTTGCGAGCCAGGTGTATCAAATATCACTTTAAACGTGCTATGTTTCTGAAATAAAATTAATGAAAATCATAAAAAATATCTTTTGCTTTAATATTCAAAGAAACGAGATGCATACTATTGTAATTTTCATTAAACATCAATATCATTCAATTATTAAAAAATTACAATAATTATTTACAAAGAATTCGTTAAAAATTACACGAAATTTCTCTAATATGTGGCGATTGAATGATAAATTATATACAACTTTTACGTTACCTGAGTTTTATTCCAATTATACTCCAATACGTAATTCTTAGCAGTTGGATCGTCCTTAAGCAACGAGATTTTGAAGAGCGTGAATCCATTTAAGATGAAATAAGGCGCTTTGGTATCCTTGGTCACATTCGTGAATTGATAGTCAGTGCACATTTTCAAACCTATCAGCCTGTTTAAGGCGGCCCAGCTACAGGTGGTGTTGCTGATGATATTTTTAGGTATGACTATCGGATGTCGCGAATTCTTTTGGTTTTGATCGGCTACCAAGATGCCCAGAGACTTTTCTTCAATTTCGGCACCTTTAACTTTGATGAAAGCTATGTCCGAGAGCAACGAGAGCACATCTACGTTGCGATCTGGTAAGCCCAGACTCACCCGCACTAAACGGGTGTCATTTACGTTCAAATGAAGCTGCATTGTTCCGGAAGAGTAAATATTAGTTCGCAACTTAAGTCCGGCAGATTTGTAGAAAGCATCGACAGTCATCGTGCCTACTATGTCAGCACTTATGCTGCAAGAACATAACATAAAATAGAACGAGAAATATGTTAGAAAATAAAAATATAAAAGAAAAAAGAACACAAGAAAAAATTAACAAATAAATTATTCTCTTGAAAGAGACACAGAGATATTATTTATTAAATAAAATTCAATCAAATATAGAAGCTATATAAACAAAGAGAATTTTAATTATGAGAGTATTACAAATATTATCGAGATTTAAAAAAATTAAAAGAGGGATAGAAGACGAAGAAGATATATATCATTTATATAAAGTATATGTGAAAGGTTTCTGCATGATAAATATAATATTGTATATTCAGAAATTGTTATTTATATTTCTTATAACTGCATTTATGGTTATTATTTATTATAGAATAATTTTTGAGAGTATAATATATATACACAAAGAATAAACAAACCTAGAAGTAATATTGGCTGTGAGCTGGAACTCTCTGTTAGCTAGTCGAGCATCATTGAGTATCTTCGAAATCTTGAAATTACAAGCCGCGGAACCAGCGAAATCCAAGCGAATCGGCAAACCGGATCCTGTTGGCACGACGTAAGAGGAATCCAAGAACATCCCAGTCCTTTCGTAGAGGATTTCTTGCATGGCCAAAAACTCTTTTATCTTTTGCCAAGGATTGAAATTCGCCAGTGCGGACATCACTTGCTTGTCGCCGTCCAGCATCGTAAACTTCAACTCATTTCCGAATATCTTTTGCAACAAACAACAATAATATTATTATATTTAGCCTGTATGCATATAGAAAATTATTTTATTACTGTTATCTGTACGATATCTATTGTATCTATTTTAACAAATTTAATTTTTTTAAATCTTAAATTATAGCGAGATAAATATACATTTTTATTTTATTTACTTTTATATATATACCTTATAACCAAGGCTAATTTTCGGGTGATCGAAATTGTTATCGATAACATTAGGCAGCCGTTTTACATCATCCCAGTAATTTTCCTTTTCTGATGCCGATCTGAAATATCTAAGGAAATTCCGAAGGTGATTCGAGATTCTTTCGTTGCTGTACATGCCATTTGGACCAAAAAGATTTTCCGCGTAATATTCCAGGCCCTCCATTCGTGCAGTAATTTCAAATAAATTCACGGATTGGCCGAGGAGATCAGCGGTAACGTTGAATGTGAACGATCGCGGCACGTATGATTTTGGCGAAAAAATCAAATTTGTTTGATAATTCGCGCCGATATTATATTCTTCAGAAAAGAAAGAGTTTTCGTAATTACGCGAAAACTTTCTAATATCGCTGTTGAACTTGTTATCGATGTCTCGATCTGTTAGCAAACTTTGAATCTCGACTCTAGTAGGTGAGGCGGAGTTGTAGAGATTCGTTAAATGACTCCATACGAAAGAACCGACTGAAAATAATTTTAAAAAAATTATGATAAAAACGAAGCTAAAAACTAGAAGCAAAAATGACATAAGTTAAAATTTTTCTCTAAATAAACTTAAATTAATTAGAATTGTTAAAAAACAAACCAAAAACATGAATTTTTTTAAAATTCAGTGTTGTGTTAATATTTTCTTGCTATACTATAATAGAGATACTACAATAATAAATGCTTGTATGATATACAAACCTTGGTTGACTTCTTCCATTTTGAGAGCATGCTTGATGGTTTTAATAACGTTGTAATCAGGACAACGTATTACTTGTAAGTAAGAGGCAATACGAATTTCTGTGTCTAATGTTGTATTGCGATAATAATCAAGGAAAAATTGATCTCTTGTCTCTTCACAGGACGACAGCCTACGATGAGCATCAACGGCGGCAACGCGAATTTCCATGGGTAAGAAACCGCCAGTGTCATCTATGCATTTTTTCAGGTCTCTTCGCAAATTCTTTGTTTCAAGCCCCATGTTACCAATCGCCTTCAAAGCTTCCAATGTCTGAAATTATACAGTTATATTAAATTATTAATCCATTTATAACAGTTGATTATTTATTAATAATTATATTATATTTCTATTAAAAATCTTTTATCCTTTCATAACATAATTATTCTTATTATAATTTGAATTAAACAAAAATTATTTTTATAAAGATTTATTTCTTCCGCTATGTGTATACATATATGTGAAAGTGCGCGCTTCTTTCTTCTAGACTAGAAGAATGAAGCGCGCTTCATTCGTACTTTATTTCTAGAATTTGCTGCAAATGGCAAGAATAAAATTATAAATATTTTACTTCTTTCGTCACAAGAGGAGAATGAAGACGGGGCGCGCAACCTCGTGAGATTTTCTGTTGAAGATGCGACAGGAACGCGTCCACCTCTTCCAAATCGATACAGTTATCGTTGTTTCTACAATACGTGTGAATAATGGTGGAGTAGCTGAGAATAAACTGGGCTTGGGGAATTTGATGCTGAAAGTCCAGTAACTGCGAGAGAGCTTTGATGGTGTCGTGATCCGGTTGCGGGAATAAAGCAAAAGTAATGATCCAATCATTAATAGTCGCTTGATTAACATATTTCTTCATTATCAGATCCTTCATCACATTTACCGCGGCGTTGCTGTTTAGGTGTGGCAGTGCAGCAACAACATGCTTTCTGTCAAATAAAAGAAAATATCAAATATAATCAAGGAAAAATATTGACATATTATATTGAATAAAATAAATTAATCATAATTTTTACATTGTAGCTTTTTTAATTATTTATAAACTTAAACCCTTTTTAGTTGACTAGAAAAAGATTATACTTAGTAACTACGTACTTTCCATGTTTGCAAATGTTATTAGCTCTCGAGAACAGCTGCGACAACAGGGGATAATCTAGAAAACGAGCCGAATGAATGAAATTGGTAAACATTTCAGCGAATCTCTGTTGCAAATCATCAGCGCTTGCCGCGAGTCTGCACATGCTCTTCATTAAATCTCGGGAGGTTCGTAACTCGCCGTGCATAGTCTTCGGCATCTTTGTATGGTCATATAGCAACGTGGTTCTCTTTGTGACAGATGCACCTCGAATAAAATTATCTTCGTCTTTTTCTTCATCATCAATATCTTCATCCTCTTCGGATTCCTGGAAAAAATCCGTCTCCTTTATCTCCTGAATCAGTTGAAGAATCATCCGAGAATCGGTCCTGGCACCAGCTTTGTCGCCATTGGAGAGTGGTTGTAGCAATCGCATCTCGTCACAGACTACTCTCTCGTAAACGTTATGATCAATCGTAATTTCGCAATCGCTGCGTGATTTGAACAATCTGTCTTGACCATGTAGCTTTCGCGGACTTCTATAAGGATTCGATTGCACTACGGAGAAGTACTTGGGACCGTTCTGGCAGTCGGCCAGATCTTTGCTCTTCTTTACAATTAGGCTGGTTCGCTTGGCCTCGTACAAACGATATTCAGTATTGCAGGCGCCATAAACGTCCACTTCGTTAGCATTGTGGTCCACGTCGAAGCGCCGCATGCTGTTCTGCAGCATCGATAGCATGCCCCTTTTCAGGTTCAATGTCCAGACCGGTTCCCGCCGGTTCGGACACAGCTCGTGGATTAACCCATCGTCGAATGTAAATCTCAGTGTAAAACGCTCAAGACTGGTCTTAAACTCATAGCCGGTATGATCGGGGAACTCGACGTTATACGTGCTGCGATCGTGGCTGATGCTGGCGTTTAGAATCTTAAGTGTACCTTCGCAGGGACTGCTGAAATGCACGGACAGAGTAGCATCGATATGCAAGGCCGAATCGTTTTCGAGATGATGAGGCAATGTCTGATGATAACCCAGATTTGTGCTTACGTCCACAGAGTATGAGTACACGTAATGAATATCCTTCTGGTATTTGAATTTTCTTTCCACTGGAACTGAAAAGGAATAGGTAAACGATATATTATTTAATAAGATTTATTTAATATTTAAAATATAAAATAGAATATATAAGACAAAGTCAGAAATTTTATTTTTTTAAAACTATTAATTGATATTTGTTATGATTTACATTGTCAGTGAAAGTAAATTTATGCGCAAAGTAAATTTATCGTTTAAAAACATTTTCTATGCATCTAGCAATAATTTCTTTTCTGAGATAATTTTCATTTCTTAGTAATCTGTTATCTATACAAATACGCATTTGAAAAATAAAGATCAGAGTTCTTCACCTCGACACGCGCAACTACGACATTACAAAATAATTTCACATTTAAGCAAAGCCGAAAATAAAAATATGAAAGAGAGACAAGGAAGTAAAGACATTATAAATTTTGACTAATTTGATAAATTAAAATTAATAAGTTATTACTTAAGCGTTTTAGAGCTTGGTTATACGTATGCAACAAATAACGCAAGCAAACATTATTTACAAATTTATGTAAAATAAGCTGATTATTTCTCGAATTAAAGCGCAAAAAAATAATTTTTTATTTTAAATTAATCACATTTAAAAAAGTAAATAAGAAAGATTTCAATGCTAAAAAGATGCAATGCTAGCAATTCTCGTAAGAAAAACATGAGACGGGATTATAACAGCGCGAAAATGGATCTCCGTTTCTTTTTTCAATAATACGCTAACGCGGCATGTAATGAATGATAAATTTCCGAAAATTGTAAAGTCGACGGAAACACGAAAATAGAAACTGCACTTTGTGTTAGTACAATATGTGGTATATACGTGTAGAATATATAAAAAGATTACCCTTGCATTTGATACGGCCACATGGCGCATGATCCTTGCTAATTTCTGGAAATAAAAAATTTAAAAAATGTTATATGCAATGTATAATGCTAGTATATTTATTTTATGTTAATAATTTACAATGTTTTATATTGTTATCTTGAGTTGATTAAAAAATAATATCACCGATTGTATTAAAAGTGGACAATTTAAATTTAAAAATTCTTTGGCAAGAAAATTTTAATAATACATAAATTTTATTTATACATAGTTTAATTTTAAGGATTGGATTATTTATTTATGAGCATTGTTAATACATTTTTAACTGCCATATATATACCTATGCAATATCATCCTTTAAATTACAAAATACTTTTACATTTAAATTATTTTCATAATTGTTAGTTTAATATAAGGCATGAATGTTTAAACAAACATTCTACATGAGATTTTGTACATATATAATGCAGTTAATATTATTAAAGATATATAGCACAGAAAAAAATACATATATATATATAATATAGACATCTTTATCCAACTATGTAAACGCTCTTGTATGTTTATGTTATTTTGTTATACTTTAAGAGACGTCAACATCGCTTGCTAACGATTAACAGGCAAATTAATGAGATACCGGACGTTGCAATAAATATACCGGAAATTGCTGATAATTACCTCCTCGCACGGCAGTTAACACTGCGCACGTGAGCGCACAAAGCAATATTGCCCTCATGATTTCCGGTACCAACTCTCAAATCTTATATCGTTTTCGGAATCCTCGAGAGGTCCTTTAAGATCGGCACTTTCTTATCGAGGTCCACATCCCTCGATGTTGGATATCAATCTGTCGCAATGTGTTGCTATCTAACTGATCGATTAATATTAATTGATAAACACTATCAGAAGCAGAAATTTTCGCAATAAATGATTTTTGCACACTGATCACTATTATTCTCTTCTCTTTCTCTCTTTTTTTTAAAATTCAGTGTTGTGTTAATATTTTCTTGCTATACTATAATAGAGATACTACAATAATAAATGCTTGTATGATATACAAACCTTGGTTGACTTCTTCCATTTTGAGAGCATGCTTGATGGTTTTAATAACGTTGTAATCAGGACAACGTATTACTTGTAAGTAAGAGGCAATACGAATTTCTGTGTCTAATGTTGTATTGCGATAATAATCAAGGAAAAATTGATCTCTTGTCTCTTCACAGGACGACAGCCTACGATGAGCATCAACGGCGGCAACGCGAATTTCCATGGGTAAGAAACCGCCAGTGTCATCTATGCATTTTTTCAGGTCTCTTCGCAAATTCTTTGTTTCAAGCCCCATGTTACCAATCGCCTTCAAAGCTTCCAATGTCTGAAATTATACAGTTATATTAAATTATTAATCCATTTATAACAATTGATTATTTATTTCTCTCTCTCTCTCTCTCTCTCTCTTACAATTTTTCTTCCTTGCCACTTTTACACTACGTCAGGTTTTCACTTGGATCTATGAAAATTTCAAATTTTGCGGAGATATCGATAGAAGTCTCTGTTGTTACTCACGGCGGCTGAGCTCTTTCTCTCATGTGACAAAAATATACGCGATAACCACCCGAGAGATAAACCGGGGTGCGGATTGGCGACTTGATTGAAGATGAAAACGGAGGTAGAGAGAATGTATGTGGCGTCCACACCACGTGCAGTTAAATAAGTATTTCCGTTGCTGGCTGGTCGGCGAATGGCCGAATGGCCGAGGGAGAGGATCAGATGCTAAAGGTCTCCCAATGCTTTTTGTGTTTACACAGAGGTCAGAGGTTTCCTCCGTCTTTGATAAGATAGCGGCTCATAACGAGAACCTAGAAAGACTCTTGATCTTTATGCGAAGACATACTAAGAATGCAGCATAAGGAATACACATGGACTTCATATGGTGTCCACATGGAATCGGTTTCAAATTATTTCGCTGGCTAAGCTGAAAGAAAGAGGAAGTATTTCTATTTAGAAGAAAACGAAGAGATATTTAGGACAGCATTTGAATATTATTTTACAATCGCACGTTATTATTTCGTTATTATTTTCAGAGTTTGGAGACAAAACGAGAGAAAAATTATTTTTTAAGAAGATAAGAAAAATAGAGATAGAGAAAGATAACAAATTATAAAAAACACAGCTAAATAGAACGGATTTAGTATATAATATTGCAAACTATAAAATACAATCGAAATAAATACAAAATTGTAAAAGTACATGGAAAGAAAAAATAGAGAGAGAGAGAGAGAGAAAGAGAGACAGAGAAATACAAAACACAAAAACAAATATTTAGTTCGATATGCAAATATTTGTTCTCTTATCTCGATACTGTTCAGAGCAGCCTAAATCGCTGATTTCTTATCCTATGATATTCATATTACATATAATAAAGCGGTTCTCTAAATTCGATTGCAGATATACATAAGCGAGAAAAAAAACAAGTAGATATTAGAAAGAGTTCGAAAAATTCTTGTCAGATTATATTATTCGCACCGGGTGACGAAATAAACATCTACCCAGACGACTATAAACAAATGTTGTAATGAGATATATAATTTTTATCGAATTATACAATCTTATCTCTTAATAAGGAGAGCAAAAAAGAAATTCAAATAAAGACAAACACACAATTCACATTCGCTCCCATATCCGGCCGTGTACGACCGGAAGTCGACTGTTCAAAGAAGATGATTAGTTATGTATAATGTATGCTGCCAATGTAATCTCAAGGAAAAAGGATTTCTTTGTTCCTGATTGATCGATTAGACACGCTATTTTATTCTACCGTAGAAAATTTTTTGAACACACTCTCACTCAGTGTTGTTAGAGCCACTTCGACTAAACTCCGGTAAATTTAATTGTTAATTAACTTACAGGGCGACCAAAAACAGAATTTTAAAATTTGTATTATACATAAGAATTATATTGTTAGAAAATTTTAATCGAAGTTTAGTCGAAGTTGCTTTTATACGGGCGCGGTTTTGTTGCGCATGCGCATTGAATGTGGTATCAATAAAGTAGTTAATCGAATGAAATAAGGTTCTGTGTGATTCTCATTTAATCCTTTCTCAAAATTATTTTAAAAATTTTGGGAAATTGACTAAAAAAACTAAAAATATGAAGCAAAAAATAACATTCACAAATTATATTTATTTATTTACATAGCTATTTAATTTATCTTCTGCGAGATCCCGCCAAAACTGAGATGCCCATCACATATACATCACATATATA